CTTTTAAACTAGCCTTTTATTAGTGTTTAAATCATCTTACACACCTGTCTCTTCTATAGAACAGCCCTCAGCTAATAGCTACTGTTATTTCCTTTTCTCTTCCAACTATGAAGTCTACTTCACAAAAATTAACTGTATTTCACAGATGGCAGAGAAGCCCAAAGACAAGAGTCCCTGGACACAGCACAAGGCAACAAATGGAAGAATATACTTGTTTCAACCACAATAATAACTGGCTTTTCACACCGGACCAGCGAATAGGAAACACCTAACCAGGTCAACAGTACCTGAACGCCAAAAGTCTGCCTTGAGACCACTGCTAAGAAGACTGGGGAAGAAAAGGACCCATAGACTCATCACCCACCTTCCACATTGCCTTACAAAAAGTGATGTGTATTAAATGTACAATTAAGACCAGGAGAGGAGAAAGCTTCGCCAACTTGGCCACTCCTCATTCTTTGATATGTGGACCAAGGCATTGGCCCCAATCACTATTCCAAAGGTAGCTGATCAGGACAGCCAATTTCCTTTGTTGGTTATTATATGACTGTTTAGTCATAGTAGATACTGTAGATAGATGTTAAGTGGGATTTACCATGGTCAGTATTGACCGACGGAGGCCATATATTTCTGATAAACTGGAAGCTTATGTGCAATACCCATGTTCCATACTTGTAACCATATTACGTATAACCTGTGATCTTGCAGGACTGTGGCTATTCCATCACACCGAGGCAGGATGTGTGTCTTCATTCCAGTCTCCCGGTGAGCTGGAAGAGCATCTGGATGTCGTAAATCACTGTAAAGAACTGGAAAGAGAATCGACATACGGCCGAATTAGGAAACAGTGGGCTGAAGCCGTCACTGGAATGCCAATCAGCAGGGGGACAGCAGCAGCATCTTGGATGGACAAGAGCCTCCTGTCATGGATATCGTGACCCTGAACGACCTGGACGCATATTGGGAGGTTTTCGAGCTGGAGGTAATTATGCCAACAAAAACACACCGGAGGCAAATCTGAAAGTTAGTATAATCATGTACATTTATAAACATCTGATGGATATCTATTTACAACATGGATGCTAAAAAGTATAAGGCTGGAATAGTTAAGGGCATCGCGACCCTGCCCGCGCTCTGGTAACTTCTATATATGGTGCGAAATCCAAGCGTAGATTAGCCGTTATTGTTTAGGGTGAGAGGTCGTTAGGCTTTTCCCTGCTGAGATGGCAGAAGACTTCAAGGATATTGGAAGTGTGGGTGAGGCACATATCGACAGTCTTTTCGGTCCACAACTGAGGACCATCCTCCCATGTATCCAGGCTAGCGTCTGAGAGGAAGGCCCGCCTGAAGTCCATGTTAGGAAAGGGTAACTAATTAATATGACAATGCTCTGTCGTGGTCCTCATCCGTTTTTTCAGCGGACATGAAGAAACGGATGAGGACCATGACAACACATGGTTTGTTCGACGACCAACCTGGCGTTCCGACAGACTGACCATGATTATCAACCATCTACAGCCAGGGGTAGATAACTTAATTGCACCACAGAAGTCTAGCAAAACTAAGGTATGTCAGGGTCATGACAGACTAGCCTAGCAGCAGACATGTGCCGAATCTTTCGTTTCCGAGTTGAAAGATGAGACCGACCAACTGGAGGACGACACTTGCGAACTTTCTTGGTCTGACTCGTACGAAGTTTCGTCTAACTCCGACTCTGAGCCTAGTGTACAGGACGAATATCCTCTCGACCCGCGATCAACAGTGCAGGTTTGTGGGATGAAGGTAGATGGTTTTGTTGAGGGCAGCCCTGGTACAGTGTATGAGTGTTGTGGTATTCGGCGAATACCGTCTAATTGGCAGCAGGCGTAACCTAACCTGCCCATCGGGCACCAGCCGCATCTGGCATCAGTGCGTCGCATCTCTCGTGCCCCGGTCATTCACTCATATACTAATAATGCTAAGTAGGGAGCTTTCCAAAGCATCTGATTTTTGCTTTGTTTAGGACAGAGATCAAGGTCCAGGTGAGAAAAGCTTGATATGACAGGTGTGTTCGGGGCTGTTTGTCGACACAGCATCCCTTTGAAATTCTTTGCATCATGGAGAAAGGTTAATCGTTCCTTAGAGTAGAATACATTTGAGGTGAGGTGACAATGGCTGCCTTAACTTATACCTTCTATAGAAAGCGACGAGTAAGCTACATTGTGTTACAGAATCATGAAGACTTCCGTTACGGCGTTGTTAGTCTTAATACCCCAAAAAGTTGACAATAAGAATTGGATTTCGTCAAGGACTTATGAGGAACAGGAGGAGGATGTTTACCTGCCAGGAGAAATTGGAAATTGAAGAAATGCCTGAGGAAGATATGACTGCTGTGCTGCCACAGGGACCTGAACATCTGACCAATGATCACACCCACTACCATACTACTATAATCATTAATCACCTAAACCATACTACTACTGTTAGTATCACTAATCATTCTAACGATTCATTGCTGCCACCATATGTTCCATCTCGCCCATTCTTCCACCTTCAGAATTCACGCATGTCACCACAAACTCGACACATTACTAACGAGTACCTTTGTCACCCCTGCAGTCTAACTATTTCATGCCACCACTGACATCCACCCCTACCAGCAGGTCTAATTCCCTTCATTTCACCAATGCCTAGTGTGCCCCCATTTCAACACTTACAGCTGGCGAGGGTGTACAGTACAAGTACCCCCTACAACCCCCTCTGGTAATTATTCTATTTTTGTTTTGCTAAAGAGTGGCTATTTAATGTCTATGTTCATTGTATGACTGATATTCTGGACAGGAGGCGTGTAAAGGCGTCTCAGCCTGTTCTCCCTGTCCTGTCCTTGTGACAAAGTTCAAATAAATAAATAAATAAATAATTTTCATTCCTAATTAGAGCGTCACGACCAAATTGCATATGAGTTAGAGGACTAAAAAGCTTCCTTTCCCTTCCATTTTGCAGAGTTCCGTGCAGTCACCTATTCCACTGGGTACTCCCAACCTGGGAGTAATGATCTTCCCCAGCCAGCTGCTTAATGCAGAGCTGACTGGGGGTGGCAAACCGTCCTGCTTTCTGAGAAAACTGATGGACGTGTATTTTACCTAAGAAGTACTGGCACCATCCAGTTACAGGGGGAAAGGGCACCATGCTGCTCTAGATGAAGACATCGTGGCAGCCATCGTTGAGAGTTCTTTCTAGAGGTGATGATGTTTACATGTATGTGAAATCTTCTTTGCAGAAAAAAACACACCTTCTGTTGTCAATATCACAAAAATATGTTTTTTTTTTGGGGGGGGGGTATTATCAGAAGCTGAATCGTCACAAGAGGGCATTAAGGGCAAAACTGAAAGAGCGACTGCAGCGAGTGCTTGTGGCAGACTGTATGTCGTCAGATGAGTCCTACACTGATGACAATGGAGGGAATGTTCTTAAGGCAAAGGTCCATCTCTTGGGAGTCTGATGAGTTTACAAAATACAAACAAGAACTCGACAACAAATGTGCAGTTATGTAGGCTTATCCATGTAAACTGAAAACTCAAGTGTACATTTATACTAGTTACACGGAAGGATAAACCTTGATTGGCTCCCGGTCAAATATAAACCTCTTGGTCTTATGTACATATCTGTGATGAGCCCATAATTAATAATGCTTGTAAATCAGAGAGCTTCTCACCGTTTATTTTCACGCACATCCAGCAAACAACAACCCGCCACCAGCCAACAACGCACCACCACCCAACAACGCACCACCAGCCAACAACGCACCACCAGCCAACGCACCACCAGCCAACAACGCACCACCAGCCAACAACGCACCGCCAGCCAACAACGCACCACCAAACAACGCACCACCAAGTAACGCACCACCAAACAACGCACCATCAGCCAACAACGCACCACCAAACAACGCACCACCAAACAACGCACCACCAAACAACGCACGACCAAGCAACGCACCACCAAACAACGCACCACCAAACAACGCACCACCAAACAACGCACCACCAGTCCAGAACGTCATCCAGCAACCGGCCAATCCTCCGCTCGCTCTTGTTCCTCCTGTCCCATGATATGATTAACAAATGGACTTACTTCCAGAAAAGGTGATGGGAGAAACTTGGCGAAAAAAGGGAACCACAATACTTGTCATGCGAGCTACAACCATGTGCATTTAAAGAAAGGGGAATGGTACATGATGTGTATTTAGGCCAACACAAGTGCTTACCTCTCCTTGCTGCTCTTGGTGAGTAAGATGTAAGATGGCATCATGGAATATGCACCTCCATGTACCTGATAATTATTGGTACAATGTCAATTAAATGCCTGTGTTTATTATTGTGTTATGAAGAGTATTAACATTGTTGAAATTCCACTATGCGTGAAATTAGAGTCGTTGCATATATATATATATATATAT